TTTTTATTCTCTCTGGTGTAACTGGTGTCTCTGAAGCTTACTGCTTCCACCTGCTAATCTAGGCTTAGTCCTGGACGCTTCTAGCCTCCGCACAATTTTATCTAGGCCTAGAAGTTTTCAGCCTCTGAGACTTTCTGCTGAATAAATTTACCCCTTCCTAGTTCTTTCTGAGCTCTGACTGGTTGGTCAACTCAGCTGTTCTGGCTTTTCAAACTCCTCTCCAAGCTGACAGAATCAAACTGGCTTCTCCTGAGTGAAATGCTCTGCTTGGCCTCATACTAACTCTGGAACTAACTCTCATACTAACTCTGGAAGTATGTTCTAATCTTCTGGCTCCTCATTCTGCGAAGGCTTGTTCCATCTTCACCTGTGTCTAGCTTGTTCTCTCTTTCAACCTGTCTCTCTATACCTGTCCTGGTAAAACTGCTCTCCTCCTCTCCACTGCACTGTTCCCCTTTCCTCTCTTCTAGAGAGAGTTGGGCATACCTAGTCTGTCAAATCTTTCTCATTTGTCACTTTGTCTGCTATTCAGTTAGACATCACTTTCAAACATAGGTGCTTCCTTCTACAAACTAACTTTACCTTCATTCTTTGGGATTAAAAGTGTGTACCAAGGGCATATCTATATCCAGTCAGAGAGACTAAACATGTGTGCTAAAGGCTGAGCCACACAACAAGAAACAGCTTTTTTTCCCAATAAATAACACAATCTAGGGCTTCATGGTGTGATAAAAGATCCTGCACCACACCCCCTTGTGCCTGGAGCCCAGAGCTGTACATGCCTGATAGTGACTGGAGGTGGCCATACGATAGAGGACACGTCATTAACAGGAACCATGTACAGGAGCTTTGATCCTATCATCTAAGTCATCTGAGGGTGCTGCTTTATACAACTTGAATTTTATGATAATTTATTATCAGAGCAATAGTAACCACTACAAAATTTAATATAAGGAAATGGAGTGCTACTGTAACAAACCTAAAGTCAGTGGCTCTAGGTTTGAAACCTGATGAGCTGGAAGATCCTGGAAAAAAACTGTTACTAGGGGCTGGAGAAGTGACTCTGGTTCGGAGTATCTGCTGCTTTTTCAGAAGACTAGGGTTTGGCTACCAGCACCCATATGTAGGCTTACAGCTATCTGTAGTGCTAGTTCCAGGTGATCTAACATTCTCTTCTGGCTTCCACTGAGATTTGTACACACGTGTTGCACATATATACACATATGCAAGCAAAGTATGTATACTCATATACATAAAAGGGGAAAAAAGGGTGTTGAAGTCTGAGAGGATGAACTGGCTGTTTAGCAGCACTGCTATGGTGACAAGGAAAATGGCAGTCTTCCTATTGGTGGATTTATGCTAAGATATTTAAGCAGGATTTTTAAAATACAATGGCTTACATCATCCATAGTAAAATAGGAGAAATATATCTAAAAGTAGGAAGTGATCAGTTTTCTAATAAAATATAGAGAAAACGTAAGAGAGAGGACGTTCAGAGTGAAACAATCTCTCCTCCCTTATCTCCCCAGCAGAAGATGTTCAAAGTACTCAAGAGCTTACTCACTGAACCATACATGAAAGATCTTGGCTGAACCTGGACCTGATTTAGGTACCTGGCTCTTGAGGTTGAGGCCATCTTTGTAAAAGGGGAATGTATTTTGTATATGGGAGAAAGAACTAGTAGTGAAGAGACTTTTAAAGCTATTTCTACAAATTATTTGACATTTATTCCATTAAAAGGTAGGGTACTTGTGTAGTATGCCTCAAACCCTAGGTTTCATGGGTAGTATGTCAATACTTTGCATGATAGTGTATGCTTGTAATCCTAACACTCAGGAGATAGAGGCAAGAAGACCAGACAGTCAAGGCCATCCTCGCCTACAGCCTGGGTTATATGAGACCCTATCTTAAAAAAAAAAAAAAAAAGCAGGGCCTATGACCTACTTTAAATCTGGGAGGTTTGTAATCATTTCTACCAACACTGAGCATGGTGGTATATGGCTACAATCCCAGCAACTGAACAGCAGAAGCCAGAGGGTTACAACAAGTTCAAAGCTAGCCTGAATCAATATAGCAAGTTTTAGGTCAGTTAAGTCTCATAGCAAGATCCCATTTGATAGAAACCAAACAAGCACAAAAGGATGCTATATGACTCTAGAAAGTAAGTCACAAAGGGCTCTGAGGTTTCTGTATCATTATCTGGAACACTATGCTTGGAGCCCTGAGTACATGGAATAAGTTTAAGTTCCCTGAGGCCTATGTGAGGAGACAAGCCTCAGAGACATTATGAGAAGCCTCTCTGGTTAGCAGCCCTAACCAGTCTTAACCCTGTTTGTTCCAAGTCCAGGTACCTGACAGTAATTTTTAATCCTCCTTGGTAGCTTGATCTTCATCAATTTATTGTCTAGTTCCATTTTGCTTTTATTATATGCTGCAGTCTGTATTACACATTTTTAGTGTATTTGGCTTATATATTAATACAAAACACCTGTTTTTGTTCCCTTTAGTATTTTTACAACTTGAATTCTGTTTTTGTACTAATAGGGTTGATACTTCTATTTCCTCTTTTAAAGGAGACATACCTTTTTTAAAATGTATGTTTGTGTTTTTAAAGGAAAAAATATGCAGTAACTATTGCTACAGAAAAAATTATCCCAGCACTTGTGGAATAGAAACTATCAAAATAACTAGTGTTTTCCTTTTTTACTGTAGCAAAATAGACAAAATCCAAAATTTGCTATCCTATTTTTAGGTGTACAATTCAGTGATATTACAATTCATTCTCCATGATGTTGTATGTTGGAAAACTAAAACTCAACCATAAAAACGTCAACTAAACACACAAAACACCTAGAAAATCGCTGTCCTTTCACTAGACCATGGGAATTGAAATTCTGTTTCTGTGATTTTGACTAAGACCCACATGTAAATGGAATCACATGATAGTTGTTTTTGTGTGGGTATGTATTGCATCTACAGGTAGGGGTGTGTGTGTGTGTGTGTGTGTGTGTGTGTGTGTGTGTAAACTAAAGGTCAATCTGGAGTCTCATTTAGTAGGAGCTGTCATTCGTTGTTTGAGACAGGGTCTCTTTCTAAGACCTGGAGTTCATTGATTTACTCTAGGCTGGCTGGCCACAGAGCCCCAGGGGTCCTCTTGTCTCTTCCAGGGCTGGAATATGGAGTATACCATGTCTGCTTTCTCTTCAGTCTCCAGTGTTTGTCTTTTCATGACTTATAAGTTAAAATCATTTACCTTCTTGTTTGGTCTTTCTTCCTACAGCTTTTTATAAGATGTGCCCCCTCATTTTTTTTTCCTTTCCTGAAAGAGGAAGCTAAAAGTTTCTAAAAATTTCTACAAATTTCAGAATATAATCACTACTACAATAATAAATTATAGCTCCATTTTCCTTGAAGTTCTTAGACTTTTTGTTTTGGATCCTTTATAGGCCTAGAGGTCGAGACACCTAATGTCTCCATGGGTTATATCTACCAGTATTTATTACGTAAAAACCTAATAGCACAAAACAGACAAAAAACCAAAAAACCCTCAACAACCTAAACTAAAGATATTTACTCATCCCTCTGTCAGTAACAATAAACCAATTATATGTCAACATAACATTTCTATAAAATAAAAAAAAGTAGGGCCTGTAAGGCAACCGAGTTCGTTCGCAGGACCTATACGGTAGAGGCAAAGGATGACCACAGATCTTCCTCTGACCTATACACACACGCTCTAGCACACTTGTGCTCATCACTCACGTGTACACACAAACACACCATAAAACATAAGCAGAACTTAATTTCTTAAATTAAAAATGTGTGTGGAAGAGTACAACAGCTCTGTCATTTTTAAATGCCTCACTTAACAGAAGACAGCTGCTTCTGCCCTGTGCTGGCATTGTCATGGAGCCACTCGATGACTCCACTGATTATATGTAGCACACAGACAATGTAGAAAGCAAGTCAGGGTTACTTTTCTTAGTTACAATAGCTTTGTCTTCATAGATCTCTCTACAATCACTTAGTTTTGCTTTAAAGAAAAATCAATTCTCAATATTACATTTATCATAAGGATGTGGCCCCTCTGTTGCCTTTATCTTTTTTCAGATGCTTGTAACCCTTGGTAACGTGTTGGAGGGATTAACAATGTCAACCTGCCAGTAAAGAAGAGATTAACCTGTGGTGCCAGGCAGGGCATGCTGGAAGCCAATCGTCTCAGCACAGGCTACTTCTTTCTCATGGACAGTAGTAGGATCTGTTAAGCACTTCCTGTAATCCCTCCATCATATCCACACAGGTATCTTTATAAAAAAAACTATAACTAGTTTCCTCATTTATTTATGCTTCCTTAATTTTACTTTGCTTCTACTTTTCTTCTCAAAAGTAAAGATAAAATTTGAGGCTATATATTTCTAAACTATCTCTACTTGGCCCTTTCAGAGTCCTTCTAAAGTGACCCAACTTTATATAGACAAAGTATGAAATGTATCTTTAGTCTGTTCAAGTCCTTAAGTGCTTACCAAATATATCAGTCTTGATATAATCTGGTATCAAATCTGTTTACTGCTCCTCTTAAGTCCCTCAATGTCTAGTCAAGGATTTCTAGCCCTAGGTTAAATATCCGATTCCAGTCACAGTCTTTGGATATTTCAGGGATGGAAACATCCATGCAGAGTTTCAAGGCTGAGATTGGACTACTTTTTCAAGTTCTCTTGAAATTACATTTCTAATACCAAGCTCCATTGTTAGTTTTGAGTGAACACCAGAACTCTCAATCTAGACTGGACACAAGCAATTTAAATCAACCACCACATCCTATAAATAGTTACTATCTAGCTCATGGACATGTCAATAACACCAAAAGCCTAAAGCTTTGTGTTTTAATTCCCAGAACTGCATCTACTTTACTTTGTAAAGACCAGATTCAATACTGTTTCACCATGCTACTGACTATATTGGGATATTTGCTTATATCTTTTTATTAAACTTTTTATTTAATAAACAACCATCTTTCAAAACACTATTTTACACTGTTTGCCACCGTCCTTACTATGTGGATATTTGTCTTTTGTTACAATTTATGAATTTTTTACTCAAAACTCATTACAGGAATTGGTAAGTTTTTCTCTCCATCTATACCTAAGCCGTGAAAATGTTTACACTAGGAGGATGACCCAATGTGCTGAACTCCTCCTTCAGATGTTTTGCTAACAGGGTCATTCTATTAGAAGGTTTTTAAACACGCTACACACTTCCTATATTAAGTGGATTTATCTTTTATGTTTTAAGCCTTATATATTTTTATATGTATGGGTGTTTCATGTAATGTATGTACATGACAGTGACTAGCAAAGCCAAAAGGTGTTGGATCGTCTGGAACTGCAGTTACAGATGGCTATGAACTGCCATGCCGTGTATAGAAACTAAACCCAGGTCTTCTGGCAAGAGCAGCGAGTGCTCTTAATCACCGAGCCATCTCTCCAAACCCTGAATGCTATTTTCTTACTATATGTGTTGTCACACACATGACAATGTGCATGAAGAAAACAGCATGTTGATCTGGAACTTTGAGCCTCTGGCGAGTAAATTGCCATCGGCACTAGGCTGGGTGAAATGTTTAGCCATCAGGGTTCTAGTTACCACAACAGAACAGTTGTCTGAATGAGATTCCAAGATGTTCTATATGCACACTAAAGTTAAAGGAACTGAAGTGAACAAACAAGATCGTTCGGTGTGCACCTATTTCTACAGTCCTCCACAGTATATCTTGGGCCTTGCAACTCCCACCACTAACAACAACAGGAGTCTGATTGGGTTTGGATGTCCCTCCTCATGGCCAATGACTGTTTCAGTAATGAAGAGTGTAACTGAAGCAATTTGGGGGAATACGACTAAGTGCAAGCTGTCTGGAGATGCTTCTTCACAAAGGTTCTTACACTTTGAAAGGTAGAGGAAGTGTTTTTCTGGACACTGTATGTCTGAAGATCAACAGTGGAATGCAATGCAGATATTTACTGGTAGCTGATGAATGAAGATAGGATCACCTCAGAAGAGTACAAGGCACTTTGAATTTGAGAAGAACGGAAAACTAAATCTGAAATTTCTAGTCCTAATTGACTTAATTATCTGACAATTCAAATGATAGTCTCAGTGTTTTATGGCATAATGGAATATATCTGGAAAGTTATTAAAATATCAATCATCTCAAGACACTGACCAGAAGAAACCATGCATATGCATAGCACATGTTTGAGTTTAGTTATTAATAAGCAAATTTAATATTCAGAAGTTCAAAAATTACCTTTCAACAGATGATTAAGGTCCATTGTGTCATGTAGGACTTTTTGTTTGGATCTACGGTCTAGATTTGCATCTAACACGGATGATTTGGGAGCAAGATTCTGCCCATGCTTTTCTTTCCTTTTGGCTGATTTCAGACCTCTTGAATCATTCTTTAAAGCCTCCACATCCTCATACACATCCCGGCTCACATTCTCTTGTCTTTTAACTTTTACTTTTTGATCATGTGATTGGCCCAACTCAAACGACTGGGCAGGGCTGATATCTGGAGTTGACAAAGGAGTTACATCTGTCACATTGTCTTCGGATTCATTATAGTCACCAGTTTTTTGTTTAGTACTGGAAGGCTGTGCACTTGATTTTCTTCCTGACTTACACTTCTGTTTTGGTGACGAGGGGGTTACACTAGAAACATGCTTCCCTGATGAGCGTGAATCAGATTTATTTTGCATGTCAGATCCTATATCTGAGCAGTCTGAGCTTGATCTTGAAGACGAGGAAGACAAAGAGGAGGAGGAACTGATTTTGGAATACTTCTTACTCGAGTTTTTTTTTAAGTTCCCAGAGGGCTTGGCTGACTTGGACCTCACATACTTCTTCCCATCGTCGCTGCTTTCCTCTCCATCTGTGTAGTACTCATCCTCACCTTTCACAATTTTTGGAATTCTATTTGGAACAGGCAAGTGTAATTTATGTCCTTTTGTGGCATCACACGATTTTTTTGATCTTGAAGAAGTCAACAATGAGGAACTTCTTGTTTGTGTAGGATCATTTTCTACATGTTGTTCCTTTGAAGAAAATTTTGCTTTTCTTTCATTTCCTTTCTGAGTAAGGTAATTTTCTTTTGTTTGTATTCCAAGTTTCAAGTTCACATTTTCTGTGTCATTATCTATTTTCTCTTTAAGGTCATCATTTTGTATTCCAAATTTCAACTTTACATTTTTGGTGTCCTTATTTATTCCTTCCTTAAGGTCATCATCATTTGGCTTGTCAAAAATAGAATTACTTTCACATTTCTTTGCATCTTCAAAATCACTGTCAAAGAAAGAATGGTCCACTTCACCTTCTGAGATATCTCCAAACCGATCCATGATGCCAAAAGAATATCTGAAAAGGGGAAAGTACAACCATCAGATCAGAGAAATCTCCAAATAGTTTTCATTTTTATTTTCCCCAAATAGAAAATGTTATAGTACAAAAAACAAACGAACAAACAAAAACCATTAAAAAGTAAACCAAGTTTGTTAAGTCATGATGGAGTTCCAGGGGCATCAAGCTATACAACAGACTCAGAGTTCACAGTTCACTAGGGCAGGCATATCGCAGACAGTAATATCTGAACCCAAAGGAAAGTCTCCTATCTGTATACTACAGTTAAAGTTTAAAAGAAGAAAAACAAATGTCTAAAAGCCACTTATTGTCAGTACAATAAAATACCAAAATAAAATAAGGAAAGATTTATTTTAGCTTATGATTCGATCTGATCCTCCATGGCCAGAAGAGTGTGGCTGAGCAAAGCTGTTTTAACTCATGGCAGCTCAGAAGCAGAGCAAAGGTGAAGACAGGCCTTCATGGACACTCCCACCACTCATCTATTTCTCATCAAGCCTCATTCTCGAATTTCCCACTAACCCAATGACTCTATCATTAGGTTAAAGCCCTGACTTAACTGTCTTGAAATCTTAGACACATCCATGTATGCTTTGTTAATCTCTCCAAGGGATCTCTCAACTATATCAAACTAGTAATCAAGATTAATAATCACCTCTGATGTTAAAACTTCACAGGATCAGGTAAGCCAGTTCAATCACCAATTATTCTGGGACAAATAATGGAATCAGTCAGTGAGCCTCGGCATTTTACTGCTTGTTAACCATCCTATTCTGATCTTTTACTGCACATACTGAGGAAGAAGCACATACAGAGCTGTGACTTCTAGTCAATCTCCCCATCCTTTCTCACTGAGCAGCAGAAACCCCAAGATACATAACAGGCAATACAACTAGCTTCCCAGAACATTTCTGAATGTCTAATCACAAGCTATAACTCAGGAAGTATTACTGCAGAGGCATATACATGTTTCAATGCATTAAAGGAGGTCTGGTATGAGACATTTAATGTTGGCAAAAATCTGTCTAAAATAAATACCACATCATTTAGACACATGAAATTAAGCATTAGAAGACATGAATTAAACTTCTAAATAGTAATTTATAGTATGGAGTAAGGTCACTGTGTTTTGTTATAGACCTTAAATTACTTGACATGTCTAGAATGATTTTAAAAGTTCATGTAAAATATCTTACCAGCCCACATGATTAGAACTATAATAAAATCATTTCTATAGTTATAGCCTTTAAAAGTATTTCCTTACTTCTATTACCATGGTAATGTGATACCTAAAAGCAATATCACGTTATTACTGATAACCTTGATTTCAGGCTTTAGTTTCTAATCTTGTTCTTCATTAAATACAAAAAAACAAGAAGGAAGGAGCTGAAGAGATGGTTCAATGGGTAGGAGTGCTTATTGCTTTTTCAAAGGACCCAGGTTTGTTTCCTAACACCTACATGATGCTTCACAACCATCTTGTAACTCTAGGTCCAGGGAGATCCAACATCCTCTTCTGACTTCCACAAGCACAAGGCATATGCACAGCACACATACATGCATTCAAGCAAAACACCCAGTCACAAAAATAAATAAATAAATAAATAAAACAATCAAAGAGTCCCTGGAGGCAGCTGGTGTTATTGCTGGAAGCAAAGAGAAATAAGCATCTTATCGAAGCCTCAGACTTTTCTCAACAAGCATAGTAATCAAATGTGCCTGTAGTAATGGTAGTAAAGCCAGTTTGTCTTTCTAAAAATACCTATCATAAGACAGATTAAGGGAAGTTAATGGAAAAATTATTTTGGCTCACAGTCCATCACAGAAGGGAAGGATGTGAAGCAGAGCTGCCCACCTCATGCTGGAGAGAAAGCAAATAAAAAGAATGCTGCAGTGGTAGGCTCTTTCCCCCTGCGGCGTCTCGTTCTTTCAGTCATCTCTAGAAATGCCCTCACAATTATACTCTAGATACTCATTAACACAGTCAGATTGATACTCAAGGTTAACCATCTCAAAAGTTTAAAAGGCCTGACACTGTACAAATTAAAAAAAACAAAATACATATATAAATGAAAGTGTCTGCAAGAGCTCCTAAGTCCACAATAATATTCAAAGGGGACATATGTTATGTTGAAGAACAGGCACACAAATGTTTGTATAATTAATATACAGCCATCGAGGCAAGTGTGTCCTTACTGTGTTTAAATAAGTTCAGCACAGTAAATCAGGCACTAGTAAGATTATGTAACGTACATCCAACAGAAGCCAGGACATACTGAATAAGTTTATATTTACTGTTAAGTGGCGCTACAGCCCAAGGGAAGACATGAAAATAAGTATGGATATGATTTAAGAGTAATAAAATTTTTATCAATAACAATGTAAGTTAGTATGTATTCACACATTTTTATCACCAAAGTAAAATTTTCTGTCATTAAGGTCTTGAAGCCTTCTTACATATTAGAAATAAATTTTGATTTTTGCTTTGTTGAGACATGATCTCATTATGTAGCCTTGGCTAGTCTGGAACTTGCTATGTGGACCAGGCTGGCCTCAAATTCAGAGACTGGCCTGCCTTAGCCTCAGGAAGCTGGGATTAAAGGCATGTACTGCCATGCCAAGCTAGACATGAATTCATTTACTTATTTGTAATTTGCAGTGTTGAGGATTAGTAAGCTCTCTACCACTGAGCTACACTTCCTGCCCTTAGACTTGTAAAATTTTGCCTGAACCTATCTTTAAATGCTTAAGGGAATCTGACTGATTAAACATGTAATTTTATAAGAAAGTGTTTAGGATGGTTTCCTTGCTAGACTTAAAGGGATAATCTGTTAGGTATTTAAAATACTCAAACGTGAAATACAATTTAAAATTATGAAGACAAGCAGACTCACAAATATTATATATAATGTCCAAGAAATTTAATATTTTATAAGCTAGATAAAGATTAATAAAAATACAGGTTAGAAATTTAGCACAAACCTAGATTCAAACAGAGGTACACATCATTGAAAATGGTATGAAATTGGTATGAAATGGTATGAAAATGGTATGGCATGAAATTCATACCTCTATTAAAATTCAAGATGTTAATTTTAAGCTGTTAGCATAGATTAATGCCTTCTTTCAAATTAAAAATCTAAAGTGTCAGAGGGGGACTTGGCCAGTAATGTAGAGGTAGAGACCTTGAGCCCAGCAGACAAAGAGATGGAACCCCTCAGTGAGTGTAACTTTCGCTATCACAGTTATCTGTATTAGATATCAAAGTCTACTCTTCTCAAGTAATTTATAAAACTTGAATTTAATTTTTAAAAGATAAAGAATCCTCTTTATTCCTTATCAAGACAATTAACAGAAAATGTATATTACATATATATATACATATATACACATATATACATATATACATACACACACACACACACACACACACACACAT